TAAAAAAAAAAAACTTATTTTTAAAATTTTTTTAATTTTTTTTTTTTTTTTTTTACGTTTTTCCTTTTTTAGGATCTGTTATGATTAGATATAACAGTAATCTGTCTCTCCCCACAGGTGACATCTAACCGTGCAGCCCAGCTCGCGGCGGGCGACTCTTGTCAGAGCCATGGCAGTGCCCTGCTGTCTGATTCCCAGCACCCCTCTGCAGTGTCCAGCCCGGGCCTGTATTACTCCAGCTCTACTCTGCCTGCCCAGCGCATCAGCTCACCCCTGAACTCAATGCAGTCCACGGCGGCCAGCGGATCCCCAGCTAAACTGCAGCGTCTGGGCTCGGCCTCCGACACACCCGGCTACGCCACCACCCAGCGTCTGCCCTCCTCGTCCTCCTCAGCCTCCCCCAAGCCTTCCCCAGGCAGGCTTGCGAAATCCTATAGCAGTAGCTCACCGATCAATGCGGTGGGCATCGGAGGATCACCCGGTACTCACGCTTCAGGCTCCCCTCACCGGTTGATGTCTCCTCCCAATAACGCGTCGCCTATCTATCAGCAGCTGCAGACCGCGGGAGTGTCGACTTACGCTACGCTTTCACCCCCCAAAAGGCTGGTGCACTCATCTGAGCAGTACAAGATATCCCACGATCTCTACGCCACCGCCACTCTACAGAGACCAGGCAGTCTTGCTGGTGAGTAACAACTCTTGACCTACCTTTGATTCACCAACTGGGATTTAACAAACATTGTGTGGGTGTTTCTGTGGGGACGTTTTTGAAGCGTGAAATACTTTCAGACGCCCAAAAAACAGTACAAGTCCATTACTTGCTGTAATCTGGGAATGTAATCTCATTTCAAACAGCAGCAGGAAACAATACAAGTATGTCAGTGTGCAGAGAACTTGTGGTAGTTGGTGACTAGCTGGCAGACTGTTTGAAACATGTATAATTGATTTTGATCAGCTTTGAAGTGAAGGAGCATTGGCACTGACAGCGATTTGAGGCGACCGGAAGCCATTCGTTTTCAGTTAGAGCTGAATTGAGGCAATATGAGCAACTATGCAACAAAATTGAGTTTAAAAGTGTGGTGATGCAATTCAGCAACTACCAATGAGAATATGATCCTGTGTATGATACATTTGGATACTGCAGTCGAGTAGCAAGCAACAGAATAGTGATCGTTAGCCATTTAATCACTGTCATTGTGAACAAAACTGAAATAAGTTGTTGAAGTACTAAAATTACTAAAACTGAAATAAAAATAAATTACAGTTAAATATAGATATAAAAAGAAATAACAATAAAAAAACAAAATAAAATAAAGAAAATATAAAATAGCTCATTTAAAATATTTATAAATACTATAATAGTATATAAATAATACTAAAATACTAACACTGGTAGGTGGTGACAAATAATTGTCTTTTTGAAAGAGTCAGTGAATCATTCATTCAGCGGTTCAGGAATTATTGAAGTGAATGTTCTAATGAGTAAATCAGTGAATCACTCATATTCATTCAACTTATTTGTTCAACAACATTGATTCATTCCGGAAAGACACAGATTAATATCCTTATGACTGATTATATTAATTCATAAATCCAATTTGCTCAACAAATCTGGAAAGAATCAAGTGAATGTCTATTCAAAAACACAGATTCATTAACAATACTTTTAATCAGAGAAGTGCAACAGTTGATTGTGCTTGGACTTTGTTTGGATTTTAATTGGCAGAGCAAAAATTCACAAAGTAACATATATATATTTTGCATTCTTAGCTCGATTGCTTCTACCATTGAGAGAAAACTTACAAACAAACATCAAAGTTCGAACATCAGTGACTTCTCTGTTATCAGAATTGGATAAATACCCATGGGACCTGGCCTGGGTAAATAAACACAACTCTTAAAGCAGACAGACAAATCTGATACTTGTATTAGTTTTCACATAGAAAGCACCTAGGGAACCACATTTGTTTCCTATGCATGCTTTCTTTGCTGATCCCTACATTCAGCCCCTTAAGTCTAGAGACTTCAGCTCTTCTTTTGAAGCAACATAGCACTTTGATATGAAGACTCGTTCTCGCTCCACAGTTAGACATCAAAGAGGTGCTGTAACAATTCATTTATTCAGTCATATACCATACGTGGTTGAGATTGTAATTAGTGGTGCTATTTTTGCATTTAACATGTTACTTTTTCCGTAAATCTTGTAGAAAATTATCTCAATCAATCTTAGGACAAAGATTATAGGCTTTGATCAAAAAAAAACACCTCCTACTGATGCTTTTAAAGCTAAATGCTTTTAAAGTCCTTAATGTTTTTGGTGTAATAGCTTCATTAATCGCTTTAGCCTGTTAGTTTTCAATTTCCGTTTATCACAGTACACAACAGTCTGCTTTTATTAATTGATAGCATCCCAATTCATACTTCTAAGGGCATTTGCATTAGTTATTTGTTAAAAGGCACCAATTATAAACTGTATATAAGAAAATATCTGTTTTCTATTTTATTATATTTCACAATTTAATTTATTCCTGTGTTACGCCAGGCTTCAGTGTCACATGATCCTTGAGAAATCATTCTAATTTGTTGATTTAATGCTTAACATGTTTCTCAGGATTGTTTGATGAAAAAAAGTTCAAAAGACCAACATTTATATGAATTAAACATGATTTGTAACATCAGGGTTATTAATAGTTAGCTAAAACTATAGTTAATTAGTTATATTATAGTTATATTAATATAGTTATATTATAGTTCACTAAAACTTAAACAAAAATAAATAAATAAAATAAAAATAAAATGTATTTAAAAATAAAATAAATTAATAATTTCTTTAAAAAAAAATGTTTATCTGACCCCAAAGCTTTTAAACTTAGTGTTCAAAATGGTATTTAATTACTTATTTATTTTTTTCTTAAATGTATTAGTATTAATTTAATTGAATTACTATGTATACACCAAACTGCATCTTAGATGGCATTCAATAATGCACAGAAAAATGATCAGATAAAACGCAAGATTATTGGAATACATTTTACAAGAAAATACTATTTCAGTCTTTCTTCTTGTTGTTTCTTTGTAATTTTTTGTGTAAAATTTACTAGTAATTTCTGAGTGAAAAGTGTTTCAAAATAAATCATACACATTTTTTTTTTTCAATGTGCACTTCTACGCAAGTTATTTTATTCTAAAAATCAAGTGATGCACATTTTAAACAACCAGTGTTTAGAGATGTTCTATGCAATAAAGCCAGAAAACACAGTTTCATTCAGAGCGGGAGGTTTGTTATCTAAATCACCTGCTTAACAGGCCAATTGCGGAACAGTGTAAGGTATTGTTGATTACAGCTTTATATTACCTGCCACATTGTCAGCCCTTCATCAAACCCACCGAGGGAAACAGTGGCACAATGGGAAACAGCAGGCCAGTGCCAAACTATCACTCAGCCTGTGCTGAGCCATCTCCGGCTCTCCCGCTTGTCTCTTTGATTAAAGGCCGGCATCCCGTGGCCGTATACCTCCACCAGTATCCGTACAGTGGTAGCAGCCCAGTCCACCCACCAGTGCACTGACCGGAAGCTGATTAGATTTGAAGGCAATTACGTTATATAGACGGGAGACTTTGTTTGCAAGGCTTCCCTGATTTCTGGAGGGAATGTGATGCATTGGTGAGCCTGTCTTTAATGATGTAGTATTCGGAGAGATTGTCGGTGAGGGGCTGATGATGTGTGTCATTACAGCTGGAGGCCATGCGAGAGACAATAGCAGAGTTGGACTCTTACTAAGACCGAGAAAGATGGACTTTAGTGCTTGTCTTACTTCTGCAAAAGCAAAACTATGTGCAAGTGTTGTGTAAATCAGGGTAAACAGTACAGAAACATGGTGTTTTGAGGAAAAGCATTATTTTCTAGGCTAACTTGAGTGGTTAAAATGACTCTTGAATAAGCTTATCACTTCACATGAGCATCAACGTGAAAGCACTATGAAAATACAGACCTATTTAGAGAAAATCTATTTGTAGAACTAGAAAATTTTTGCCTTTTTGAAAGTAAAGACTCTGTATTTTGCTATTATTTTTTATTTAAGACTCTTTATATAAGACTCTGTATTTTGCTATTATTATTTGTTACTTTAGGGGAGCGCGGAGCACAAAGTAACGCGGGGTTAGTTGTAACACTCATGGTTTGAATATTTCCACACACGCTAGCATAACTAAATTTACAGTATTTATTAGTTACCATATCAACATTATATAGAAAAAAAGTGTGCCAAAATTCAAAAATCTTTTGAGGATATCAGTGAACATTTATTTTACCATAGAAAAATTAAAATTCTGGCTTAAAGGGGTCATATGATGCGATTTCAATTTTTCCTTTCTCTTTGGAGTGTTACAAGCTCTTGGTGCATAAAGAAGATCTGTAAAGTTGCAAAGACTAAAGTCTCAAATCCAAAGAGATATTCTTTATAAAAGTTAAGAGTCAACCACGCCTACCTAAAACGGCTCCGTTCTAACACACCCCCACATGTCTACGTCACGATGTGGGAAGATTTGCATAACGCCGCCCAAATGTTTTTTTTTTTTTTTAATGCTTCGCTAACTAGCAGAAGACACTAACCAGTTTTAAATTCCAGTTGCGCAGATGGGGCACGTTGTAACACTGCGTTACAATGTGCTATTCTATGACATTAGCAATGTAATTTACACTATTTGCTTTAATGAATTTTAATGAGATACAACGAGAAACAGGTGAATAAAGACTGATAGTCAATGTTTAATGTTTAGAAATGATTATTTCAAGACATGTAAAGCAATTTTGCTCGTTTATACGGGCATCCCAAGCATGATTGCAATGTGTTCATTGTCAAACTCCAAAATCAGATTCTTTTTAATTCTTAAAAACGCCATTATTTTTTTTGAAAAAAATAATTATTTTATTTTATTAACAAAATATTTTAGTTTTTGTATATTTTTTTCATTCGATCAGATAACATTTTAAGCTGTTATATGGTCAAGTTACAACGTGCCCCTCAGATGTTACAATGTGTTCCACCTACGGGG